ATATTCCCCTTTAAAACAAAAGATCCGATTTCATTTTTAATAAAAATTAATAAATTATAAATAAAACAACATTGAAATTAAATATATATACTATAATGTGAATATTAACGTACTTGATACCGAAACAAAGAAAAAATAACCTTGAACAAGTAGGAAGAAAGAAAGGATGCGACACCATGAAAGCTAAAACACTGACAATGAATTATACTTAAGTCACGTTTCACGTGTGATTGTACCTGATGCCGTTTGTTAGATCATTATAATAATATAACGAAAGAACGTTCAAATGATTTACGTAAATACCAAACGCGTACGAGTATCAGTTAGGAAAATACTGTATAATAATTGATACAATAAAAAACCTGTTCGAAATTAATCGAGGAAAAAAAGATTATTACTTATTACTTTTTGTTGTTTAATATTTCAACAGGATAAAAATCCAATGAAAAATAAAAAGAAGAAGAAGAAGAGACCTCGTGTTTATTTAATTAAATAATAAAAATAAATAAGAAGAAAATATTGTATAACTTACTTGTAAAATTGAATGAATACTTGTACATCTATGTCAATTGTATGTCACTGCTTTTGATTTTACTTTCTTATCGTTATAAAATTAATTGTAATTAATAATAAGTATTTTGATATAACGGATACGAGAAAACTGACGATTTAATATTTTCGTTTCTTCTTTATATATATATGTAACACACTGAGAATAAATTTATCTTCGATAAGAAATGTTATCTCGATTAGACAAAAAAAATGAATAACATATGAAATCAAACAAATTGAATATAAAATAAAATATTTTCACAGAGAGTAAATGAGAGACGAGAAGACCCGCGTGGTATTTCCAAGCAACGCGAGTGACTCGTTTCGTACGTTGACGTTATTGTATGTAGTATACTAACTTGCCTTTTACTCAGGGACTCACAACGATTCTTTTATTCTATTCCCCACCACGATACTACTCTATCAATACATGTGACCACTACGAGAGAGAAAGAGAGAGGGAAAGTATCAGAGAATTCTGAAAGTACAGATTGCAGAACTTATTTTAAGATAGAAGAAGAAGAAGTATGACGGTGATGATGATGATTAAAATGATCTTTCGAATAAAAACTAATCTAATTTTAATTTATTTGTTAATTGTTATACTACGCAAATTGTAATTTTGTATTTTATTATTAGGATAAATATATAATTGTATAGTACGAAACTATAGAGTTATTTTATAGATAGAAAAAGTAGAAGAAGAATACTATGACAATGAAGATCATAAATCGTTCGAATAAAAACTAATCTAATTTTATTTATTTGTTAATTGTTATACTACGCAAATTGTAATTTTGTATTTTATTATTAGGATAAATATATAGCTGTATAGTACGAAACTGTAGAGTTATTTTAAAGAGATCAAAAGTAGAAGAAGAATACTATGACGATGATCAGACTCGTTCGAATAAATTTTATTTATGTGTTAGTTGTCAAACTATGCAAATAATAATTTTATACTTTACTATTATGGGAAATATATAACTATATAATACAAATTGTACAATTATTTTATAGGT